AATCTTAGCCCCCTTTCTCCCTCTAGCCTCGGCCTCTTCATCCCATACTCACGACCAACAGCAACTCTATACAAATCCCTCGGAATAGACTCGCATACTATCCTTGCACTAGCCGCTGTATACGGCACAGTGGCATTCATCTTCAACTGCCTCACAACGAAATACCTAACCGACCAATGGGGTCGCCGGAAGTACATCACCCTCTTGCTAAACCAGCCATATCACATACCTAACAAAATACAGAATGCTTCTATCCGGCTTGGGCGGAATCATTATCGTTGAGATCTACGCAGCCGTCATGCAGCGCGAGTTCCAAAACACCGACAACCGAGTCGGAAAAGGCTTTGCCATTCTGGGAATCTATCTCTTCGTGGTAGCATACTGTACGTCACCAAGTATCTCCCCAACTCAACACATAGAGATGAAACTAACACAGAATACCTCGGATAAAACAGACGGCATGCTCAACAGCACAACCTGGCTCTACGGCGCCGAGGTCCTCCCCATAGCTCTCCGAAGCAAAGTAATGGGTCTCGCAGCAGCATCACACTTTATCGTCAACGTAGCCAGTTAGTCAATACCCCTCCCATACATCCATCCCCTTACTCCCCCAACCCACATCACCCGCACACCATCAATACCAAAGTATTAATACTAACCAACCACAATTTGGCAGTTACCGAAGCCGGCCCCAGTGCATTTGCCAACATCGGCGAAAACTACTATTACGTTTTCGTAGCATGCACTGTCTTTTTCTTTACGGTGGCTTATTTTTACTTTCCGTGAGTGGATACTTCTCCCCTATCATCAATGGCTGTGAACTAATTTGACTCCCCTCTGGGTACTAGTGAAACCAAACAACGTACACTTGAAGAGATCGCGGCATCCTTTGGAGATAAGGTCATTACATCTGACAAGCGAGGTGATGGTGAGGATGAGGATCCAGATGCGAAATGTACTTCTGAACGTGTTGAGGTGGTATATGATGAGAGGGCCTGATTGATTTCCCACTTGACTGATAGGAGAATGGGGTTGGTTTGGTCGTTAGACATGCAGGAATTGTTCTACTGGGACTTGGTGGGGTTGACGACGTTATTGATACTACGTTTTGTAAGTTGGTAATAAGAATATCATTAGTAGCCGAAATGAATGACCGCCTCTACTATATTGCGGGATTTTCTTAGGTAAGATTATCAGAGTTCGTGATTTTCTTTTCGTTGGTTATCGTAAGGGGTGTCTGGAAGCAGCTCTGCCTATAGCCATTTGATGTCGGGGCTAGTAGGCTGTTTACCCGAGACTCGTGTCATTAACCATCCAGAGACATGAAATATGCATGTCACGTTATGCTCGCTGTCTAGAGATAGGCGGCGCGCTTATCGTTTGATTCGCAGCTGAAAGACACAGCCAGGTGGTGGCGTATCTTCCAAACCGTGTATGAGTCATAGACACGCTCGTGCCTCCCGTTGTAGGTCGTTGCATGTTCAGCAAGGTGCCTCAGGCGGCCTGAGTCATGTTGCTGTATCTCATGGCTCCTTGAGCGGTATTAGGCAGCACAGAGAATGAGAAACATGTGGTCTGTCGCATCATGGTTTTGTGTAATGTGTGTCTGTCTGCTCTGGTGCCTACCCTCGTTCGAAAAGGAACTTCCAACCGTCCCAGTAAACAGACGTGGGACTGACCCAACTCTGAGGTTGGAGCTGGGCAAAGAGCGGCTCCATGATGTACTCGGGAGCTATGGGCGACAGGTCGTGCGTTAGGTCACTTGGGGAGCTTATGAGACCCGTGTTTGGGTCCACAGTCAAGACTGCTTGTTGGCCTCTGGTGCAGGCCATGTCACTAGGGATTTGTGTCCCATTAGCTATGATATCTTTTGGAGGGGCTGAACTAGTGTAGGACACTAGAACCCCCATAAAAGAAAGAGAGGTACTCACATGAGCCGACGCAGGACGGGGACCGCTTTGCTGCAGAAATTGCTGCGATTTGATAGAGCAGCAAACACGTCCATCGACTTCCAGAGCATATCTTTTATCTCGACAAATTCAAATTGACTCTCAGGATACATCAATGTCACTGACAAGACTACAGCTGCGTGGAAAGCATGGAAGCTTCCAAGCCCACAGTTGTACCATTTGTATGAGGCGAACTGGGGCGACTCATGGAGCGAGTGATAGATCGAGAGAGATGCCTTTGCAGAAGCCACACACTTCGTTCTCGCGGCGTACGTTTCTGGTGTAAATTCACCTTGGAGGTAGCAGCAGAGTCCTGGTCGAAGTAGAAGCAAAAGTAGCTGGTGGATATAGCTATAAAGAATATTGAGATTGGCGACATGATGTACTGGCAGAGGCTCAAGGTTGGGGTTAACCTGATATCGCCTGTCACATATCTCATGAACGGCCAAAACCTGCGCTTCAAGTTGAGAGAGGCTGAACTTGGGACAGAAGCTAAAAAGTGTCTGACAGATCATAGACAAGACCTTGTCCAATCGAAATTCAAGCAGGAAATACGTCATTTGCGTTGGACGGGTCGATTGCTCAGATAAAGAGCCCGTGAGTAGGTCCACGTCGTTGATTTCCAAGGGAGGCTTCACACCTTGAGAGGGGATGTGATGGCCGAGATGGCCAAATACTGTATTCTGAGTAGTATAAAGCATGGTTACTCCTGCCCAAGCTCGTCTGCGCTCTTCACGCTCAATAGGCCCAAGCGGGAATCGATCTGGGTCAACATGACAGCCCATGGATATGGCGACATGATGTGTGAAGCCTAAAAGAGTCCAGGTAGGAAGCCCCCGGTGAACACGGGCATAATTTATCAGGATTAGTGATTGGAGAGAATTGATGGAGTGACGAGAGAGGACATCATCTGCGGCCAGACAGCGCAGTGAGGCAGATCGATACCGCGATGATAGGATTTTGATGTTACGGGTGACAGTCTTCTCCCGACCTAAATCGGAAAGTAACGGCTCGTCATCCTCGAGCGCTGTGACGGCAATTCCCAGAATGGCAAACAGTAGCGCGATCCATGCTGTTGTGACGCTGCTAGAATCATGACAAAACTGTTGGTATTCGGCCTCAAATGTCAGGTCATGCAGAATATGAAACATCTAGGTCTCGGATTAGCAGTGATACTATAGGTGAAAGAGGCTTTGTGAGGATAAAACTCAAGCAATGGTTTAACATACTGGAGAGAATACTTGAAAGTAGACATTCTTCAACGCATCGCAATACCGACGTGGCGGCAGAATAGCAACCAGCTCTTCCCTGGAAACCGAGTTTTTCGCCAACGGAATTTGCAGGTCGTCGCTCTCATCTGGTATTTCACTATCTACACTGGGAAGTGAAGAGCCTGTACCGGTAGGACTCAGTTGAAGTTGGTTGGCATTGGTTGCGTATGGTAGATACCGAACGTATCCAGATGCAAAGCTCTGAAGAGTGCCAACGTTAGTTAACAAGGGGCTTCTCAGATTGCTAGGCTTTAACTCGACACCTCTATCAGACTCAAGGAAGCTGCTCGTAGCACTAGGGGAATTTTGCGGGGACACAGAGGCACTTGATTGTGATTGCGCCTGTCTCTGAAGTAGCTCTTCCAGGTCGCGGATCCGTGCGAGCAGATGTGTCTGCCCTGCCGCCTCTGCTGTTAAGGCATGCTCGGAGGACAGCCTGGGCTGACCTAGGTATATGCAATCCTCAGCGCCCAATCCTCGACGAACACAGGTCTGGCACGGACGCCCGTCACGAGAGCAGCGTATCTTTCTCGAGCGACATGCTTGGCAACTTATGGGTAATCGCTTGCTGCTTGAGCGACTTGAGGTGGCCATGCTGATTAGGAGTGCTGGGCGGACGAGAATTAAAAGCAAATTTTGGGTTTTAGAGGCTCAGTTAGCCTCCACTATGTTGGATAAGGTTGGCGGGTGCGGTAAAAAGGAAACGGAGGATAGCTGTAGACCCAGCCGCAGGGAATGAGGCCCAGTGAAACTGACTTGGTAAGGCTCGAGATGACTGGAATAAACAAAAGATCATAGGCACAGAAGCCTTTAAGGGTACCTGGCGCTCTTTTAAACCGAATAATTCCTATCACAGATCTGCAAAGAATAAGAATGCATTGGGGGCCGACTGAGAGACAGGCACTATGCCAGAGCCTTTACCCCCAGTATGGGTCCCTTGGCGCATGTTTTTCTTTTTCTCTGTCTCTATTTCATTAATTCTCTGCAAGCATGCACCGGCGTCATTCCAGATAACCAAAAAGGGATCTAGCGACTGCAAAGGATTGCTCGAGCCAGAATAGCTGCGTCGCAGCATTTGAGATCTCTTTCCGATTTAGTTAGAGTGCATCATGCATTTAATTTGCATATCCCGTCTTCTTGGCCAGAGAGTGCATCAATTGAAAGCACTAGGGGCAAATTCTGACGCATGGAACTCTTCCAGAAACATACCGAATGTGAGCTAGTCACCGCGTGAGTGGATTTTACGAGATCCCTGTCATTCTGGGCCCGACGAGGAGACCAGTCGCAAGGGGCTGAGACGGATCGAGGATCGCAATGACGTTCCCCGGTACTCGGGTCTGTGGTATTAGTGGGTCCTAGGCTGAAGGCCGAACCTATTAGTTTCTCCCAATTGCTGCTTCATGGCCCGTCCAAACTCGCGTGGGATATAGCGGCTGAGGCTAAAGGGATCAGGAGACGTCACCGCCACGCAGAGAACTGCAAGAGGGCGGATGGATTCCACACACACCGTCTCAAGAAAGATTAGTGTATGGATTCCACACACACACACCGTCTCAAGAAAATTAGTTGCTCCGCTTGCTCTTCCTCGGGGTAGCCTGCCGGAAATCAACGAGTGTGGCGATTTGGCCCACGCTTCGACTACCCATCTCATGGCAACGGACGATCCGTCTGTGCGCATCGAAGATAGGCACCACTTGTAGAAAGGTTGGCCTTGATCTCCAGGGGCTATTCCTTAGCTTGTTCAATTGATCGAACCGGAAGAGGCATGCGGGCTAATCCAAAAGCAATACTATGAGATAACGCCGTGCAACAGAACCCATGTGGGCTAGATGGACCCCGGCATCAGAAGCTGGGGGTCAAAGCGCAAGAAGACCGCGTACAGATGGGGGCTTTTAGTGGGTTTTCATAGAAAGCCTCCGGGCACGCAAGTTAACTAAAGCTAACTGAATGCAGGGATTATCGTCGAGATAGTCTCTTTTCGGAAGGAGTCTAGAGGAATTGCATCGCCCCAAGCGCCAGAGCAGTTTGCGGATCTAAAAGGGACGGCAAGATCTCAACGGGCAAACATGGCTGACCGCTGCATGAGTAAAGCATTATGTCACACATCTGGGAGCCGAAGGAGAACTAGCGACACGCAAACAGCCAAGCGGAAAAAGTATGTACTTTGATCATGCATGATGTAGGTTAGTGATGCTAGCGGGATTTTCGTAGCATCCAATAGTCCGATGCATACGGACTGAACTCGGGCAAAGAATACTAAAAAGTGTGGGTGGCTCTAGCTGTTCGCGTGGCGAATTATGACCCACGGGTCGGAGGTTCGCCTAAAATTAGTGAGAAATCAGACTCCATAGAGGATGAGACGATACGAGGAAAGTGCAGACCCAGCAGACCACTTTGGCCTTGGCTAGTCCATTTCTTGTGAAGGAAATTAACTGCGAGAGGTCGCAATTGCGGTGCACAGTCTGGGGATCTCCGAAGTGCCTGGAAAGAGGACGTCAATCCTTGATGGGGGAGCATGTCAGAAGGGGGGAGGGAGTAGGGGCAAATCAAAGAAAGTTTGCCTGGGGAAAAAGTAAACATCGGGCAAAGGAAAAGAGGCAGATCAGAAGTCAAATGTGAAAGCGCCACCGCGGCTATTCGGAATCCAGTTCCGCACATTCTCGAAGTCCGAAAGGGTCTTGCAAGTCCGAGTTACACATGGCGAGACACTTGCATAGAAATTTCGAAGCAAGTTGTGGAAAAGAAATAAATGCATTTCTGGTCCACTGATTGACAGGCGGCATGCTTCCATGGTTTCTCGACAAGCCCAACCCACCAGGATCCGTGGAACCGGCCACCAGGAACAACTGGATCAAGTACAAGTCAACAACATGGGTATCCTATTCAATTTTGAGGGCATAGTTATGATATTAAGCGGGCCATGGGTGCCGAATGGGACAGAGTCCGAGGGATACAGACTATGTAGAGGCCGATGGTAAACAAGTCACTAATTAGTTAGCATCGGGCGCAATGTCAGCCTCGTTCATTCTTTGTGCGTTTGGGGTTCCGGGAAGGACCTCATGACTGTCACCCCAAGCAAGCCAAGAAGGACTCTGTGTACACTGTAAAGAAGTGAATCATTCGGATTGGTAAGGATGGGTTGATGCGGAAGAGTCAGAGAGAGGGAGGGAGGAAGGGAGTGAGAGAACAAGATACTCGAGTTTCTACAGTATCAGGGATGCTTCCTAATTGGGCCATCACGAGGTCTCGCCTTCACGTGGCCGATCAATTTCTTGTTTGGGTCAAATCAATCCAAATCAATCCAGTTCCAGTTCCATTCCATTCCCTCTCCATCATCTTCGTCATCTTCTCTTCCATTCTTGCCATCGCTTTTGTCTGTGATTTAAAGTCCGGTGGGATTAGAAATTAGAAGATCTCTCTGATTTCAAATTGAAGCCATCTCCACTCAGTTCCTGGAGATAGAAAGAAACCAGACTAGACTACTACTCCGACTGCTGCTAAGGATCCGCGTCTAGACACTTTACCAAGTGCCACTTGCTGTCCCGTCCATTTTACCCCTCCTCACACCAACAATCCCTATTACAACACCACTAGTATTACTACTCTTCGCTCAGCCACTGTTCGACTCTTTGACCATTCGCGCGCTTCGCCTGCTTCACTATCCTATCGTCGGGCATCTCTTGTCTCACCGTGGGATCCCTGATAATTTACACAGAACCATCAACCTCCTGCGTCAGTCAGTGTTGCCCGCCCGGCCATTTCGTCAGCCTTGCTAATACCCCACTTCCCTGCAGCCTCGCTTCCCATCTTTCAAATCTTCCATCTTCCTCTCCCTTCTAAACCTTGCCCCTTCTTCCCTTCTTGAGTTACCCTTCTTCCGTTATTTCATCCAAGTAAAACTATACCTACCATTTTTGAAGATCGTTAATCACCCCCTTTATGTCGACGTACATCTACAAAGAACGAGACCGTGAGCGGGAGTGGGACGAGCCCCGTTCTTCCACCGTCTCTATCAAGCGTTACGTCATACCCTCCGAAGACGAACGTGAGCGCGACTTTTTCTATCGCCGCGAGGACCCTGGTGATAGAGAGGTGGTGATTCGGCGCACGGTCGATCGTGAAGAACCTCTTACCGTGCAGCGCTACGAGCGTGAAGTTGATTATGACTCGCGCCCATATGACTATCGCTCCGAAAGAGACTATTACGAACGTGAGTACTATGCGCCCGAACGCATCCGCAGACATCCCGCCCCCATTGTCATTCGTGAAGCTCAGCCGGTAATCTTTCTTGAAGCCCGAGGTCCGGTCTACGTCAATCCGAGGGAGTCCGACTACGAAATCGTCCGCCGCTCTGAAGTAGACAGAGAGCCCGGAGGTTATTACTACCATCGCCGTGTTCGAGAATACGATGATGACCGCCGTACTCGACGGGAACTGAGCCCTAGTGACTCCATCTCTCAGGCTGCCCGCCATCGAGATGACCAGGAGGCGTATAGCAGTGACGACAGCATGGTTTACATCCGTAAAGAAGTTCGAGAATACGATGATAGCCCCCATCATCGGCGACATCTGGCCGAGGGTGCGCTAGCGGGTGTCGGTGCCGCAGAACTGCTTCGCAATCACCGCAAAAAAGAAGGGGAAGAAGTGTCGGATGGTGTGGGCCGCCTGGGCAGGGATGTCGGCGCGGGTGCTCTGGGGGCTGTTGCGGCAGAGGCAGTTTCGCGCGTTAGAGACCACTATCGCAGCAAAAGCCGACATCGCTCCCATTCGATTGATGATGGCAGAAGCTCTCACTCGCGCCATCACCATCACCATCACCACCACCGCCATAGCCATAGCCGTCGCAGCCGCAGCCGTTCACACTCCCACTCACGCGCCAGACATCTTGCGGAACTTGGCCTAGGCGCTGCTGCCATTGCCGGAGCCGTGGCGTTGGCGCGGAGTAAGTCAAATTCAAACAAAGACCGACGAAGCCGCTCACGCCATCGCCGCGCCTCGAGCTCGCGCAGATCGCTAAAGGATAGCCATGAAGAGACACGCAGCCAGTCGCAACGCAGGAAACATATGGCAGAGGCTGGCCTGGCTGGAGCGGCTGTAGCGGGGCTGGTGGAGAAGGCACGCAGCCGTTCCCGCTCTCGCAGACGCGAGTCTCGATCACACAGTGCTATCCGGAAGGCCCTCCCCGTGGTAGCAGCTGGACTCGGAACGGCAGCGGCAACGGGTCTCTACGAGAAGAATAAGGAAAAGAAAGAAGAGGAGGAGTCACGACGTCGGGAACGTCGACGGTCGAGGTCGCGGAGCCGGGCCCCGTCGGAGGTGTACCCTGATCCAACGAGGGACTCACCTGGCTTGATTGAATACGGCGATCATCCGGTCCATGGCAGCATACCTCCTAACTACTATGGTCGGCCAGTGAGCCCGCATGGATATTATTCCGACGCTTCTGATCCTGTAGCCAGCGGTGCTGCGGGGTTCGGCTCTTCCAGGCATCGAACACGCAGTCTCAGTCGCAGTCGCAGCCGCAGCCGGGGGGTTCGATACAGTAGCGACTCGTCTGACTCCGATGGAGGCAGCCGCCGCAGGCGTCGAAGCCGTCACGGCAAGAATCGCAGCCGTTCCCGCGAAATTGCCGAAGCTGCTTTAGCCGCCACGGGAGTTGGGTATGCGGCCCACAAGCTTTCACAGAGAAACGAACGCAAGAAAGCGGATAGGGACAGAGATAGGCCGGGTAAGCCTTGGTGATCTGCAGTAAAAAACAGGGCATTCCAAGCTGACGGTTGTCTGCTAGAATCCGATGAGGATGCACGCCGTGAGCCATATGACAACTCGTACAAAACTCCATTGCCCTATCCGGCGACACCTGCTGCAGCGCCTCGGCCAGTTGATGATCACCAGTATTATCCAAACGGCAACTACTTTCCGCCCCCTCCAGCGACAGGCCCACGCCCAGAACCGGCACCTTACAGCCCGGCTGACTATCCACACCCTCCTGGCCCGGTGCCACCTCAGTCGTACGATTATCCCTCTGGCCCTGGCCCAGACCCTTACGCTCCGCGGCCCCGCAGGGCAGACGAGAATGTGAGTGCATCGAACTATTCCCAGCCCACTGTCCAAGACCGCGCATTCGATGGTGGGTTCAGGAAGTCTGCCGCTAGTTGGGCTATTACTGACAGTGTCGCTTAGGTATAGACGTCCAGTCGCCGCTGAGAACTCCCCGTGCGAGGAGGCGCCGATCACGCGCTGCCAGCCAGCCTCCGGGGCCAAAGTCAGTCGTTTTTGATATCCAATCAGAGCATGAAAAGCAGAATGATCTCGGATACGAGACGGATGACAGCGATTCCACTATTGGGTCAATACATGGGAGCCGTCGCAACCGCCCTCGGGCTCGTCGACACTCTTCGTCGGAGCCATACTCTTCATACAAACGTAGTGATGCTCGCTCTGGGTCACAGGGCCAGCAGAATAATGCGACAGAGTCAGATTCTGATTCGACGATTGATCTGCCAGACCGGTTTGACTCGCATGGCCGGCTTCTGCCACAGCCCGACGATGATCCGCTGGCAGGTCGGCTTGAGCAGCTCATGAGGGGATTTGACCGAGTCTTTGCGTAATCATGGTGTTTATTGTCACCTTTCTTTTTTTTTCACTGTTTATGCCGCTTCTGCTTGACGAACGAAGTAATGATGATGGATGATCTGATTTGACACGTCTGTTCTAACGAGAATATTACGCTTTAACGGCCTCATGTACCTACCAAATGCTTCCCTCTTGTCAATGTGGCTTTGTCTATGCAGAATGAAATTGATAACGCCGGCGTTCGGCCGAACGATCTCGCAGATTTGATAGATCGTCCCGTTGAGGGAGATTTCCCAGTTCAAATGCCGATCTCTGCGTGCCTGCCTTGGACGAGGATGCATCTTCCAGGAAAGGGAAATGCCGGGCGTAACATGTGCAGATCTGCAACCCCAACAGCCGGACGATCTATGAACCAAACCAACCGACAGGTCAAGTTAACTGTATTCCCTCTCTCACTTACTGTGACTCACTGTGAAGAGAACAACTGTCATTCTTGGAGTGTTCGCATTGGATGTATCTTGCAGTTTGCATTATCCTCGGTCACAAGCACAGTCAGTCAGTCAGTAAGTAGTAGTAAGCCATTTCCATCCAAGGCAGCCAGAAGAAACAAGGCAACCGCCAGAACAAGAATCCTTCGGTTTATTTAGCTTGCATCG